TACATATATTCTATTATTAATATAATTAAATAGATTAACTATTCAAGACTGAGTAATTTTTCCTTAATTTTTGAAAATTTTAGCGTATCATGAATTAGATTTAATATAGGGAAAATCGCACATTTCGTCCCCCAATTATCCACCACATTGAAATCCCCGACCCGTGTTTTAGGTTTTTTAATTGTGACCCCTGAGTTGTCAGAATAGTTATAAATATCACCCTTGCCGCTACAAATATTACAAACTCTGTCAGTCTTTCATTTTTTTCATGGTTATTGATGGACGATCTACCCGGGGGTATCTTATCCGAGGGGTTATTGTGGGAATAACTAGAGAGAAGTCAGAGTAAATAGGAGGAGAGAGAGTCGATTTTATTAAATGAACTCAGCGTGTGTAGATGAGATGTAGATGATGTCGATTACAAGGAGAAATGGGCTGCTATTTATAGCAGCAATAAATGCGATGGGAGTACACGTGTCAGTAATCCAACGGCCGAAGGGTCACATCAGCCGGTTGGCACCGGCAGTGGTACGTCCACCGCATTGAATGCGGTTGGCGGACGTGACGTGGCATTAAATGCGGTGGTTGGCTGTCCCTAAAAAGAATCTTCGATGATTGAGTGTGCTTGGCCGAGGGCTCCTTGTGTTGCCGAGGGCTCCATGTAGCCAAGGATCCCTGTGTAGCCGAAGGCCCTGTGTGACCGGAGGCATGGTTTAGCCGGGGGCTTCTCTGATGCCGAGGGCTCGATAATGCCGAAGGCTCATGTTTTTCGCCGTTTTCTCCCAGTAGCCTCTTATGCCAGAGAAGGCTACCCTGTGAGGTTTGGAGCCTTCGGCCAAGGAGGCCGAAGGCACCCCAGTGCGTATTCTGGGCTACGTTGAGGCTTGGGCCGCTGCATTTTGGGCCTGAGTTGTTCCCTGGGCCCAATGAACTTGTGTAGGAGAAGTAGGAGTCTATGGGCCGGGGGTTCCTGGGCCATATAATCCATCAGTTATACTTGTAACTTCACATGCTTTTTGTCTAAAGCCCTAATTCGAGTTATCCCCAACCCCTTATCACACTTATCCTTCCATAATTCAAATGCTAAGCTTAAACCTTTGCTCTGAATTTTTTCCGCCAAGTTTCCGTTGCACATGGTGTTCGAATACCAAAGGTCGAAGGTCGAAGCTGTTACAGAGGCGAGAAAGATGAGCAGCCGAAGAACAAAATTATGGTGTTCATATATTGAAGGTATTCATCTGTTAATACCAATTGAGCAAGCAAAGCAATTTTCTTGTTAGGACATGCATTAAGGAAATGTTTTGAACTCCTGCAACTGTGGCATATCCCATAATTTGTCAACATATTTGTCCTGCAAAATTAATCAAACCACAAAGATCATACCACCCACTCAACCCTAGAAATCCAGTTCATTTTTTGAATAAACAGAAGAGGAACGACGACACACAAGGACCAATGGAAGAACGAAATATATGTGCACACCTGAAGACGAAGAACGGACGAAAGAACAGAGCTCTCCAAAACTCCTAACAACTCAAGAACGGACGAAGGAAGAACGGCTGAAGAGCTTTTGATTCCCAAGCTACGGACGAAGTTTGGTTTTTATTCGATTCAGGGCTTTAAAGGTAAAGGATGAGAAGTTACATGTGTAACCCTGAAAAAATGGAAAGACAGACGGCGTTTGTAATGTTTATAATGGCAGGGGTGACATTTATAATTATTCTGACAATTCAGGGTCACATTTAAAAAACCTGAAACACGGGTCGGGGATTTCAATATGGTGGATAATTGGGGGACGAAATGTGCGATTTTCCCTTTAATATATTTATTTTTAATTATTGTTTAGAGAGAAACTTTATGTAGATTCAATTGGTAACAACTTCCCACAAATAAAAATACATATCAGCTAATTGGGTTATCGCCCTGCCCCGCATGGGGCGGGTCATTGGTCAACAAGTTTAGACCCGTGCAGGTCACGGGGCGGGTCTGGGTCTTGCATTACCCGTCCCGCCCCGACCCATTGACATGTTTAGTAAGAGTCAAATATGTTCATATATAGCTAGCCATTCATCTTAGTTTAGAATACTAGATATTGGTTCCTTTTTGTTGACCACTATAACAACATGTTTCAAAGTGTTCTTGAATAGCTTCCTTCGTATTGATTGTTTTTTTGTAGGGTCATGAATCCTTTGCTTCAAAAGAGAATCTCGAGGAACTTCATCAATTCTTGTTCGTTTTAGGCGTCACTCACGTAGGTTACAGCTTTGTTGCTATCACCTTAGCCATGATTAAGGTTAATTACTACTCCGTATGAGATTGCCGTTTCAAATATTCTCACCTCCTCTTTAATTTCTTCGTGCAGTGCAATATTATTTGGATTATATTGTACTCGGCCAGCTTACAGTTTTTATGGTTCAGCCTTAGGGCCTAGGTTATAGATACCATGCACTTTTTAGAAATAAGAAGTGATTGTTGATGTCTGAATATGATTAGTTATGATAGTGAATTGTCGTGATGTATGGATGTATAAATAGAGAAGAATGATACTACCTCAATCTATGATATTGGGACGGAAGGGAGTGATGTAGTTTTCAAGAAAAATATAGTTATGCGGTTGATAATGAGTTGATAAAGTGAGAATAAAGTAAGAATGAATTAGAGCAACATATATGTTATCAAATATGGTATGAGACAATAATAGGACATCCAAAAATGGAAAATGGGGCAATTATAGGGGGCATAGGGAGTATTATAGAGCACATCTTTTGATTCTAGAGATCATGTAGAACAAATTTGGCATTTTGGCATACACGGATCCACTATCTTCAGCTCAACTTGTTTATACATTTCAATGCAAGATAAAAGATATTTTATCTTTTATTTTCCTGCGTAGAAACTAGTATAAAGCTGAGTGATATTCCAATGCTACCTTACAACGAACGAACACTTGTTTTTGTAAAATAAATTTATAAGAAATTCATAGTGTGATAAAAATCTCTTATAAATTTACTTTTTAATAATTTGTTCCATTGTCTGCAAGTTGGTCTTTTGTATAAGTGTTTTGTGTTAAGAGAAGAGAGAATTGGATTTCGGATGAGTTTGGCTGAAAAACCCAGCTTTCGGTTGGCTGCCAAGCATTTCAGCTGGCTGCCCAGAAAATCAGCTGGCTGCTAATTTCTGGAGTTTTTCCAGTTGGCTCAATCCTTAACAATGAATACCTGTTAACTCTTTTCGTACCTTTTATTCTTTTTTGATCATTTTCTTTCTTTTGTTTATGATACGTTTAACTTCTCTTTTTAGTATTCTTTGCTATTCATGAGTACTTTATCCACAAAATATGGAGCACATTACAGTTACACAAAGCGGAACATAAGTAGTAGACTAGTCTAATACAGGGATAATAGTCTAATATAAAAAAGAGTGGCATCATCAAAACTATTTCATTTTAAATCAAAATCTAGGGGACCTAACAATTTCCCCCTTTTTGATGATGCCAAAAACTAGAATCTAAACACTTCAATAAAAGCAAAAATACATTGAAGTCCTAAGTGTTTGATTCTATTTCCCCCCTTTTTGGCAGCAACAAACACCTATTGTTGGTGTTGTCTACCAGATGATTCCCCAGGATAGAAGTTCCTTATAGCTTCTCTCCTTCTTTTCTTCTCTGCTTTCTTGAGCTTGTCAAGCTTTGCATTATAGAGTCTCTGTCGATGAGCCCCTCAGATAAGGAGACATCAACAGATTGTGTCCTCAGCCAGCTGAGTGCAAAGCTCTCTTCTTCTTTGATGAAGGATGCAACAAAGAGAAGTAGGTTGAGTGGTGCTAATCTCCATGCTCACCATTTCAGAACCCTCTGTTTCGTTTTATCAAGAGAATTCTTTTCAGATTGGAAAATCATCCATGATTCTAGATCAATCATGAAGTTTTCTAGTTCTCGAGTTGCTGAAGCCTTCTTATTATTTTGAGGCTGTGGAGGAGCTAATGAGAGATCTAGAGAGACTCTTGGGGTAAGCCATTTGAGTGACATGGTGATTGTCGAAGATGTTTTGAAGAGGATGATCGTTTTGAGTTGAGAGAGTTTAAGGACAGCAAGGATATTTATACACAGATGCAGCGTTTCTCCTTACGCCAAGCTGTAAGGAGCTCTCCTGGTTCCCCTTCCACATCACCTGCTACTTGCTTCGATGCACTAGCCCCTGTTTCAACCGACTGCGTCTCCTCAAGTTCATGCTTCCTCTGTTGTACAGCTTCCTTGGAGCTTACAAGCCACTTATTAGGACCTGCTATGGTAGTTTTTGCTTCTCCCCCTGCCCTAAGCTCAACTCCAAAGGATTTTTCAATAATAATCCCTTCCTCATATCGTAACAAGCAAAACTTATCCGAATGTCCAATCACCCCACATATGAAACAGAAATTGGGTAGTTTCTCATACTTAAAATCAACACAATGTCCCTTTCCTTCTTTTTTCAGAGAAGTGCCCTTTTTCAGGGGTTTTCTAACATCCATACAAATTATGATTCTCAAGAAAGGTTTCCTTTTGTCTCCATAACTATTTTCATCAAACTTTATAAAAGAGCCAATAAAATTCCCAATTCGCTTAGCAGAATTCAGATTCCTTTATTTTTGGGGAACATTATGCACTTGAACCCAAAAGGCTGCTTCATATAAAATTAGTTTTTCAGGGATATCATCTGGCTGAATTGTTTTTAACAACACTAAATCTCTCTCAAACACCCAAGGTCCATTTTCCAGCGCACGGTTCATATCCAAAACATGGTTAAAAGTAAAGAGATACCTTTTTTCATCGATTTCCTTGATGGATACCCCCTTAACAGGACGCCAAGCTAAAGTCATCGCATCCTGTAGCGTCTGCAGATTGACCCTTCGATCGGAGATCACCGTCCCAACCACGTGAAAACCAATCTGTTCATCGGTCACTTCCTGATAACCGGCTTCTTCTATATCAAAATGGAGTTCGTTATCTGCCTCCCCAATAGCCATCTTCTTGTAGTTGTTAATAATCTCTTCCATCTGCAAGCCTTTGTAAACCCTCTTCCCGTCACTCTAGCCCAACCGAAGAACAAAACGATCGAGCAGAACAAAAACCTCCTTTGATCAACTCGAACGAGCCGGGAAGACGAAGCAAAAGAAACAGAAAAACTAAAACCGAACTTCGATCAAATCGATCGAATTTGGAGGACAATAAGGTGTAAAGTCTAAGGGAAGGGATTGCTCTGGCGATACCAGGGCAAGCGGGCGCCGCCGCCAGCGCGGCGGCAACAATAGGGACGGACCGAAGATCTATTAGATTCGTCTCTCTCACTTGTGTTTTAGATGAAGACCAAGCTCTTCCCCAGTCCAGATGCGAACTTCAGATTCCACCCCTTGCTACAACGACTGAAGACATCCCACGGGCGACCAAGACCTCTCGCGATCCACCTATAAGGAAACAGAGGTGATCCTACTCTGGAGAAGACAGGTCACATCAGCGCTCTTGCAGACGGAGATTCCTCAGGGGTTGCGCTGGTAGGCTTGCGAACCAATCTGGGAGCTATAGATTGGCGGTGTAAAACAGTCCGCACAAGGAATGAAGACTTGCTGATGGAGGCTGGGAAAGACGCTGTACTGATCTACGGAGGGACAACAGCTTTTGGGGAAACAGTGACCGTCGATGGATTGCTAAATACGTACAAGAAGGAGCTGATACTTGTAGGGGCAGATTGTATAGATTTTCTCACTCAGACCGAGAACACTGGCGCTCAAGGTGTCAAATGGGGTGCACAAGTCTGGGCTGTCACGATAGTTGGCAGTGCTATCCTACTCAACCGGTGAGGCGATTGGGACTTTCCCAGGTCTGGAATCAGAACAAGTCAGGCAGACACTACATAACTGACGAGAGTTCTCTTATTATTGAAAGTAAACTCTTTTCTTTCAATATTTCAGATTCATCAATTTGCATTAGAGAGAGTAAACATGGTCTCTTTTCTGCTATTGAATTTGATCGTAATGGTGCTATCTGGTTATGTGCATCTTTGCCTAAAGTTCTGCCCGGAAAATCTCTTTTCAAATCAGTTCTTAACAAATACATCACTGCCAGTTTAGATGGTAATAACTTTGGGGGGTTCGTTAGAATTTTTTCGGGGAGGATTCTTTGTTTATACCAGAGGGAAAAATGGAGTTGGTTTCACTAGATTTATTGCCGGTCTCTCGCATGCAATTACCAGACTGAGAGAATCATCTCCCCAACAGGCAGATTCACAACAAAAATTGAATGAGGCTGGTTGTTCAGATTTTGAGATAATTAATCTCGTTATTGATCGTATGGACGGGAATTATGTAGACACTAAGGAGCTCACTATCTCAGATGCCTTATTACAAGCTGATTTAGTATATTCTGGAAATATGATCGGTACTTTGGGCTCTCCGGTAACAACTACTTGATTTGATTCTTCTCACATTTGTGCCACGTTAGAATCCTCTGTTTCAGAGCTAAAACTATTCCTCCAGGATACAATGAACTCGAGTGTTGCTAATTTGTCAACATTTATATCCAAAGAATATGAGCGTATCTTTAAACAACTATCTGAAACCCAAGGACTAATTAAATAGTGAGCAATCACATAAAGAGGTGCTTGCTGATGACCAACAGGATACTAAAAAAAGGATGCTGCCAAGAGAGGTGCTAAGCGGGGAATTGGAGTTAGAGCAGCCAAAATTGAAAATCAGGAGGCCGACTCCTCGAGGGAGTTTTTCTTAGGTCACACTTCGGAGAAAGAAAAGCGGACTCCTATGTCAACGATGGAAGATTTATGGGATTTCAAAACTAATCAAGATATTTTCAATAAGGCTTGCTGATAACGAGGGATAACTACTTGCCTACGAACAATATGAATATGCAGATGAACAACTACAAAAGGAGAAATCAACATTCACATCGTATGAGGACGTGAACTCAAACTCGCATGGAGCATTGAGGAGTTTTACTATACTTAGGGAGTTAGGGTTCTATTGGATGGGCATTTGTATGGGTAGGGTTGGGCTCTATATCTAGTTGCATTCCTCTTGTTTCTCTATTTTTTTTCTTCCTTCTTTCACATGTACGTTTTCCTCTTTTCTTAATAAAACGAGGCGCACCTCCCAGTATTTTTCTTTTAATTTTAAAACGAGGAAAATCCAAAGAGAAAGAGAGTTTGTTGATCTCCTTGACGAGGCGCACCTCCCAGTATTTTTCTTTTAATTTTTCGGAGACTTTTTAAAATTGGAGTTAATTTTTCTAACGGCGTTAGACGCCGTGCCCCTGCTATGATAACGGAATTGAAATACATGCCTCACTTTGTCAGAAAATGAAACACATGCTCCTATCTGAAAATGGCCCAAACCACAGGTACGTTTTCTGTACTTTTCCCAAAAAAATATGTGTGTGTATTATATATTTTGAGTTTACATTTATAACGGGGACGGGGCGAGAACGGGACAGGTGTAGCAATCCCCATCCCCGCCCCATATTTTAGCGGGGGATAAATATCTCACCCATCCCCGCCCCGCCCCAAACCCCACCCCATCCTCCCCCAACGGGGCGGTTCCCCACGGGCCCCCACCCCTATTGCCATCCTTAATCCCTACACTGTTTATAATTTTCATATTATACAACAACAACAACCAAGCCTTAATCCCAAAAATATTTGGGGTCGACTAACATGAATCGATCTATAATATCGATGCTAAACACAAAAATAATTTTCATATTATAAACAATCAAAATTTAACTTTTACAATTAGGATCGTGTCTAACCGTAACCAATCATTCCATCATAACCTCATAGTCGTTTAAATGTCTTATTACAATTTCCATATACTATGTGAATGGATTATTACCTCATTTAATAGTTATACATAGTTTTTGTTATCCGAATAGGGGAGACACTATTTTTATCATAAGTACTTATACTAAAGGTCGGGGTCGGAAGAGGGGCACTTGCCCCCCTAGGACCCCCCCTCCAGGTCCTCCACTCCATATATTTATCTCTTAATATCATTTACACCAAACATATATAGTTTACCTTGACATACACACCACAATATAGTTTACATGTATTTACAGATTTTACACCACATATAAATGTATTTATACCGAACATAACATCATTTGCATCAATTTGTTTATTCACAGTAGTACATTGCATGTGACAGACTTTTTTCTGTTATACTACTTATCTAAAGAAGTGACGTCATTTTGTATGTATGTATGTAGTAGTGGGATACCGAGCGCACACTGTATGTAGTAGTGGGATACAATTTGATTTTGAAAACAGTGGAAATAGGAATGGATTTTGACAACTTTATGATCATGACTTATTGTCTATAATTTCTACTCGAACTTTCCATGGATAGCTTGGTATATGTAACTTAGGATCACAACTGCAACTGCAACAGAAAAAACAACTCTCCCTGCTACTCTTCTTTTGCTCTTACCATATAATACTTTTTTAGAAGATTTAAGGGGGGGTGGTGGGGCGGTGAAGCCGAGCTCCGACAACTTTTTGTGAGACTCGGCATAGTCATTAAAAAATGCATCTTCGTCCTGATCATGCAGAAAAGTGTATACGGAGTATTAATTATATATATTCACTATTGACTCAAGATCCATTGGCCAAATGATGATACGATTAGTTAATAGGTAAAAGTTGTACTATACGTACATTTGCGTAGAGTTTCACAAAACTGCAAAACTTAGGGTCGTCTACGAGAGCTTTATCAGTGGGCAGTTTCAATAGGCGGCCTCCTTGTGATGACTCTTCCTTTTAAGAAGCTCCCTGCATGCATGCAGGTAAGTACGAACGTACTCCGCCTAGTTATTTGGTAATATATACGAAGTTCGTAGTACGTAGTATTAATTAAGTAGGCGTTGCATGGATCGATATGGGTACGTACACAAAGTAAGAATTATCAAATTTCCAAGGATGCTCTGTCCATGCGCCATCAAAGCCTGACCGCTCACGGTGTGCTTTTCCCTACATATACACACACATGATTCTTTCATCTATTATATTATCATCAAGCACCCCGAAAATAAATTTTATTTATTTATTTATTTCTACACAAATGAATATTTTCACTAATTTATCTAGGAAATTAAACTGATGTAGTTTAGAGTGTATGTAAAGTATAAATGCAGTATACCAATGTATGTCCTCCAGACAATGCAACAATGTCCTTGTCCGATAAGCCCATCCTATAGAAGACATCTCTCAAGTGAGATTGACCTGAAAAAGTAGTGCAGTAATAATTAAATAATTAAGAACAATTCACATGACTCCGAACATTCTTAAATATAATAATGCTTTAATTAATAAGGTAATACTCGATCGATCGATCCATATTCTTCTTCTTCTTCTTCAATTCTTATTATTGTTATTCCACCTCATTATTGTTAATTAACTTGTACTCGTATGTAATTTGAGAATAATAGTGAGGTATCAAATTAATGAGTATAAAGCAGCAAGTGGCACGTACCTTGTTTGGCATCAGGAAGCCGCCCTTCTTCGGGAGATTCCAATGAGTCCTAATACATATTTGAGTAATTTGACATTCTTTTTAATTACTCCGTAGTAGTATATAAGTATAGACAGTAAACTTTAAAGTAACCTAACGTCACCCTGGACAAGCTAAGGATGGGTCTTTTTAGGGGGGGGGACAGTCTCCCTTTAATAACTTTCAAAATTCTCTAGCCTTGGGCACATGTTTTAAGAGAAAAATAGTAGGGTAAGTATAGAGTGTGTAGAGTAATTGATAAAGTTGGAAAGAGAGTATATTAAAAAGAGTAATATAATGATAAAGTAGGAAATAAAGTATACAAGTATTAAGTAGAGTAAAGTGATGATACAATATGAAAGAGAAAGTAGTTTGTAAAAAGTACTACTTTAAGAAGGATAAAAATAATAAAAGTGAGGATATTTTATCAAAAACTTTCCTAAAATAGAAAGAAAAACATTTCATAAAAAAACAGATGAAAATGGAATAAGAGACAGATAATAAATAACAGAGGGAGTATATGTGTTCGCCCCCCAGCCCCTTAACTTTTAGTTTTCAAAATTAATATATAGTCTTACATAATGTAATGCTTAATTTAAAATTTAAAAGAAAAACATCTAAAATAATTTACATAAGTGTTTACTAAAAAACGAAAAAAAGTTGTGCCCGCCTTGACTCAAAATTGTGGATTCATCCCTAACCTCGTGACCCTGGATACATAAAGGTGACAGCTGGTGGAGTGACCAGAGTCATATATACTTATTCAAAATTGTTTATGGGAACACCACAAAAATGTAAAACTATATATGACTGATCATGAGTTCATAATAATGGAGCTCAGGTGCACAGTCAGGAGAAAACGCTAGGGTCGGCTTGGGGTTAGTTGGGGGTCGGTGAAGGTGTGAAGCCACGTACTCACGGCCACCGTACCCCTAATTAAGTGATATAGAGCTCTATAAAATTTGTGAAAGTGAACTAACAATAAATAGTTAGCTTTATCAGATCATGACCCCAATCAACTCTACCATGCACATTTGGCTTTGGAATTCAAGCTGTTAAATTCTGCATTGTAAAGCCCTGCTTTTGTCGGTGTACGTACCTTTCTACCCGGAACAAAATCGATGGAGGGACCTCCCGTGATCTCTACAGCTACAATCCCTGCAAGCTGCACAAACAATAAACATACAGTACTGATTCAATTAGTGAAGTTGCTTTAATTATATGCTCACACATTACACGAATGTTTTCTTTTGGATTATTTTCAGTCTCAGACCAGACTTCCGTAGTTAAAAATACACAGAGACCAGACGTTTACCAGACCAGACCAGATCAGATCAGACCGGACCAGCAAATTACAGTCCAAAAGAAAACATCCTACCTAGGATTCCAATAAGTTACCGCATTTCCTTTAAATAAGGCACGAATCTGAGAGAATAACTCAATATATTGTGAGAAATAGCTAGTTTGGGTGAATTTATAGTATAATTAATGTACGGAGTATTACTTTTATTATTATGTGATGATTAAGCTGCTCTTTAAGACTGTTAATTAATTATTCTCTAAAATAGAAATAAAAATCTTAAATCGAACTTAGAAAAGAGATAATTAATTGAGAACATGTAATTAGCTAAGATGGGTACTAATTACATTACTCGTACGCCTTTCAAACAAATTTGATTTGCATGTAAAATAATTATTAAAAATTATTTATGCAGAGCAAAACAAGAAATATCTTTAAGCACATATTATTAGGAATTGGCAAAAAGATTTTAATTTTGACAACTAAATAAGGAAATTCAACAAATTTCTAAAAGATAGATAATTATTGTTTAACTTTTGTCTCCTGTGTCCAACTCTCAATTGAGGAAAGTATATGTAGATGTGCAGATATACTCCTAAAATTCTAAACGACCCAAAAATACGTACGTATGTTATTCCTATATAAAGGAACAAATAATTAGCCCTTATTAACTTAAAATAAGCAAATTTGCCCTTTTATAAGTACTAGTACTAACTTTGATACTCCACTTGACCCACTTTAGGACGACAAGTATAATACCTCCTCCATCCCGTTAAGATTGTCCCATTTTTTTTCTTTTGGAAAATCTCATTAGGATTGTCTTATACCAAATTTGATAAAGTTAATGTGGTTCTAAATAATTTTTACTTTATTCTTACCTTATCAATTCAATATCAATAACATAAACTCACTTTTTTAATCATCGTGTCACCCCTCATGTCTCAATCATGGGCGGATCTATATTGGGGCAGGGGTGGGCTTTAGCCCTGCCCAATTTATTTTTATTATTATAGGTATAGGTTTAATTTCCAGCCCACATCAAAATTAATGTCTAGCCTAGCCCAAGCCTACCAGCTTTGTAATTCTATTTGATTATTAATTGAATTTTTTCAGTATACAGTAAAATAGTTTTTATTTATTATAAATTTATAATGATTAAAGATAGAATTAAAGATTAGAAAATGATTTATTTATCATGCAATTAAAGATTAGAGAACGATGTATTTACTGTTTAGGCATGTAAGAATGGATTCAAAATCTCAATTCAATTTTAAAATTGGGAATACTTATTAGTTTTATGTACATCGACTCTTTTTACTTATTAGTTTTATACTTTTATAGAAG